ACACGCACACGCACACGCACACGCACACGCACACGCACACGCACACACACACACACACACTTACACACACATACACTATAGCGGGAAACCCACGCCGCTGGTTGCCTTCACGCGCTTGGACGCAGCCAGCGAGCACACGTAACCGACGGCGATGAAGAGCGCCCCTATGATGGGCAGAGATATCGACAGCCAGTCCATGCGGTAGGCCAGGCAGATGCCCAGCAGACCGACAATGGCGACGATGAGGGCGGCGGCGGCTCCGAACAGCATCATTGTGACGCCATCTACTTCCTGCGGCCGCCGCTCTCCGCCCTTCGACTTCCGACCGCAGTATAGGCACTGGATTTGCACGCACGTTGGGTCGCTGACCGCATAGGTGGCACTGCGCTCGCAGTATCCGCAGATAATTTCGCGCGTGCACTCGTCGTTCGGGCGCGCGCCGCCAGGTGGCTCGGTGGTCGCCGACAGTTCATAGTTATCTATCCCGGCTTCCGGCGCCACGAACGACGCGTTGTCGGCATCACCGACGTCGTCGTCATCGTCGTCGTAATAACCGACGCCGTCGCTGTCGATAGCTGTCGTTGCGACGCCTTCTGTGATTATGAGGACGTCGTCCGTCGTCGTTTGGAGAGGCAGCAGGTATATGAGATCTCCGTCGTCGGCCATGCTTGCTGCGCTAGACTCACAGTGCTCACACAATCCCGTGCAGGCGCTCTACAGCGGAGCTCGCTGTTGTTGTGATCGCATAGACCGGGGCAAGGCCGACCAGCGGCCTCTAGTCCTACACCTTATATACGCAGTCAGCTCCGACGTTATGCGGCCAGCTCTAAACGCAATTCTTCGTTGTCGGTGTGTGTATTTGTTCTCCTGCATGAGTGCGTTAGCAGCGTTATGTGTCGGTGGGTGACCTGATGGTTGGCATACACTAGTTCATCAGTATGTAGCGATACTGGCTCCGAGTGCGTCAGCTTACACACACACACACACACGCACACAGCAGCAGCAGCGTCGCTCTCGATCATAGGCCGTGGCCTATCGTCTACCAGACGCTAGCGTCGGGAACATCAGCCGACGCCCGTACACCAGACACGGCATCGACACGACTAGCAGACGTCACCCTAGAACTGCGTAACGTCACGCGCGGCGACAGAGGGCGCGCGCGTCGTCCGTGTCTGCGGGCCCGTGTTGAGGCTGGTCGCTGTGGCGGTCGCGTATACCGCGCAGTGAGCAGCGAGGGTGTTACACTCGCGTCTTCTCAATACGAGCATAGCTCTGCAGCAGCCGCTGATGAAAATTTCACTCGCATGCACGCAATTTCCTCACTCGCAGCACATGCGCCTTCGCGCGAGCTCTGAGCTGCGCGTCGCCGGCTTTCTCTACAACGTCTCGCGACGTATTAGTGTCGCATATTGCCTGGATCGAGCGACTGTAGCCGAAAATTATCGTATCCTAGAAACGACGTGCTCGCGGGACGCAAACACACGCTGCCTGCCCGGCGACTTTAGCGATAGTGTGCGAGCGACTATGATAATATTGTGCGTGCAAACAACGCTTGTGGACCGAGCAATTTTACACGATCAAAGTTCAATATTAAAATGCCGATACTACCTTATACGATACTTTACTACGATATACGATACTACCTTATACGATACCTTACTACTTAGTAGTAGTAGTAGCAGTAGTAGTAGTAGTAGTAGTAGTAGTAGTAGTAGTAGTAGTAGTAGTAGTAGTAGTAGTCGTAGTAGTAGTAGTAGTAGTAGTAGTAGTAGTAGTAGTAGTAGTAGTAGTAGTAGTAGTAGTAGTAGTAGTCGTAGTAGTAGTAGTAGTAGTAGTAGTAGTAGTATAGTGTACGCCGTACGTGTAGCGTGGTATAAGCCCCCTATGTGACAGAAAACTTCCCTTCCATCTAATTTACGCATGGGCATAGGAATGGGCATGTCCAGCAGGGCGCACTGCGTATGGACATGTGGATTTGACCTTTACTGCCCATGCTCAATGTATAGAGGTCGTTCTTCGCGTGACACTGACCATGCTAATATTTCCTGAAAAGCTATGATATAGGAATTATCACGGGATGATTGGTTTCACAAAGCTCACCAACCATTGCCGCCTGTTATTACATTACACATTTTACTATTTATGCTTCATTTACAGGAGATTTCCTTTGGTCAACGCTTCTTCGTATTCAGCTGGGAGGACATGGTGGTAGGCATAGTAACCAGTGTGATGGTATTCCCATTGAACTTCCTCATCGTCCAAATCTTCAGATGGAGTAAGCCTTGGGTACGTATAGAAATGGCGCTCGCGTCGCTCGTCGCCGATGCGAGCCAAAATGAATTTCCTCGGCCGATTTTAGGCGTTTCAAATTGTAAGGGGCATGCCCACAAGAGATGTGCATGGTTAAATCCGATCAAACATCTTTACTTTGGCCGCAGCATATTGACACAATTCGTCCCCTATGGCAATGTAAATAGAAATGGCGCTCCCGTCGCTCATTGCCGTTGCGAGCCAAGATAATAAAATATTATGTTTCGGCCAATCGTAGGAGTGGGGGCATGCCCGCGAGAGGTGTGCATGGTATAATCCTATTTAAAATTTTTCCTTTGGCCGCAGCATCTCGCCACGTTTCTTTGCCTATGCTGATGTACATGGAAATGAAACTAGCCGAGATAATACCGCCCTGCTTGATGGTTGAATGTATTTTTATTAATTGAGACGTCTTATGATAGGTACTACAAAGACAGATCTCAGCAGACGCCGGTGCACACACGCCACAGACGTTGGAGATAGGAGTGGATGTTCGCACCCTAGGTGGTTCCACGCTTAGTAAAGAACCAGGGAAAACACGGCTGGGGGTGAGAGATAGTGATCTCACGCGTTTATATATAACTGCTTACGTTTTTTGTTTCAAGTGCGAAAGATAACAATCCGAATTTCTCGCATCAATACAGAATTCTTGCTCGTATTCGGTTGGCTCTAGTTTACACGGCTACGCAGAGGAGCAGCTCTTAGGCAGGAAGATTTCGGATTTGACGCGGACGGGTACAAGAGCGACTCAACGCCAGATCAAGCATCAATCAGTCCGGTGGTCGTCACACATAATGAGGTATTATGGACCGGGGGGCTGTTGTCAGGAACATCACTAGTAGTATATGACACCATAAGTCTAAAATGTCATAATTTTTGAAGTAAAGTGTTTAAAAAAATTAATGACATTTATGATAACTATGTTTACTTATTCTGATTACTCTTTTACGTGTGATTAGTCTGACAAGGCCTCGCATATGCAATAGCACTGAATTCCTAATAATAATAATCATGTTTATTTCGATACCGCGTGCTTGCAGTCTAGAGGACGCATGATTATAACCCATGCCCTGTGTAATGTACATGAGTTTAGGTACAGCTCTGATTACAGGACCTGGTGACAGAGTGTGATGTTAGCACGGAGTCGCCTATCCGTCGTTTAGCGACAGGCGCCATTACGGGGCCAAAACGTCCCGCTAGCGCCCACCCACGTCGCCGCGCCGCAGTGTCCTCTCGTGGGAATGCAGCCGCGACACGCAGGGGTAGTTGGAGCGATGAGGAGGTAGACGTGGCAGGAAAGGGTGAGTAGAGCAATCTAGGACATCGTAAAATGTATCACCGCTCACTGCAAGACACGACAACGACGACGACGACGATGACAGCGACAACGAAAGCGACGACGACGACGACGAAAGCGACGACGACGACGACGAAAGCGACGACGACGACGACGAAAGCGACGACGACGACGAAAGCGACGACGACGACGACGATGACCACGACTATTCGACGACTGTTAATACTACTGCTACTGCCGTCGCCGCCGCTTCTGCTGCTACTACTGCTGCTACTCCTGCTCCGCCTCATCTTCTCCCTCCGTCTTCTCTTCATCCTTCCCCGCCTTCTGCTGTCACAAGAGTGCTCTTCGTCGTGTGCAGAGAGGCCGACGACCAGCTACCGTCAGCGTGGTGCTAGCGCGAGACCGCCCCGGCAACCGCGGCGCGACAGCTGGAGCGATGATGATATCATGGGCGACGAGGCAAGGCCGATGACGGGTCATCATGGCAACACCGCGACCCGGAGAACACTGAACATAGGTAAGTGCGGTTCGTGACGTACACGTAGTCAGTCTGTACTGGAATGCTTAACATTGAACACATATGAAACGTTACACGTTTTTTTTTAATTAATTATGAGTTTAAAATAACGTAAGCAGTTTGTATGGTTAATGTTTGGCACTTTCCAACGTGAAGCTTGATTAAGTTTGCGGCGGATAACAGTGAAATCTATCACGCCTTGTCATCGCAACGGGAAGCAAAAGATCATTAGCTTGCAGCGCAAACTCGCGATCTGTGTCCCTATTATATATATATATATATATATATATATATATATAGTCTATACAAGATGCCCTCATCGTTGACGTTGCGTTGCTTGTAGACGCGAGGCCGCGCACAGGTCACGGGGTAAGAGGAGCCGGGAAAAAGACGGAGAGGCCGAAGACGGTGGTGGCGGGCGCGCGGGGTAGCAGCGCCGTAAGAGAGAGGGCGGAGCTGCGCAGCCAGCGACCAGCGACGGCTCACCCGGACAGACGAGTGACCAGTGCCTTCCACGGCCAGGCGGCTGGTGCGTACGCTTGTCGTTATTATTATATAGAGGGCGGCCCTGTCGTGCAAACATCAGAAATTTCAGAAATTTCAGAAGATTTTCGAATACCGCACGAGACTGAAATAGTGTCACGCGGTGAGATATGCGCTGTTGCCAGGCGCGAGGCAGCAAGGTTATACCGCGTTCCCTTGCAGACGGGTCACACCGCGGTTAAAAAACATGCTAATAACAGCGTTGCCTATATCCCAGTGTTTACGAATTACGCATGGCCACAACAAAACCGATCAGCGCTGAACTTGGGACCCGCTGTTTGATTCTTGTCATATTGCATAACGTCGTGTTTTAAATGTCACATGTAAGCTTTATCTTTCCCCACTACTGCTACACGACAAACGCTCTGGCGTGGCATATCATTCGTCAGTGGTTGTAATCGTCGTTGTTGTAGTCGTCGTTATTCTAGAGGCCGTTAACGTACACAGTTGTCGCTATCTACTATATACCTGATGCATTGACATTTCCGCGCGACACTCGCACCGCACACTCTATGTAGCCATCTCGCGTCGCCCAGCGTTTTATTTTTATTTTTACCTCCGCCAGGAGCTTGGCGGGGGTTATGTTTTCACCGGCGTGTGTTTGAGTGTTGGTTTGTGTGTTTGTGGGTTTGTGGGTTTGTTAACATGCACGTTTCAGTTCACTTTCGCTAGGTGCGCTGGCTGTAGACTTACAAACACGCAACCACAGGCTAAGGGGCAACCACAGTCCTCCCTCACCTGCACGCCCGCACTAATCCGGATCCAATTAATTATTTAATTAATTAATTAATTAATTAATTTTTCCACTTAATTAATTAATTAATTTTTCCACTTAATTAATTAATTAATAAAAAATTTCACATTGAGAGAATTCAGCTGCCTTGGCGGAAGTGCTCTAGTTTATAATGTGATATGGTGAACAATAGCCCGTTTCCAACTACGTTTCGCAGACGAATGGGAGGAGGAGGTGCGAGCCCGCCCCCCGAGCGCCCACCCACGCAGCCGTGACATCGACTACGAGGGAGGCGAGAAGAACAGAGACTGGGATTCATCGGAGTCGGATGAGATAGAGGCGTCAGTGCGTCCACGCGCAGCTCGCACGCGCAGGTGAGGTGCCATCTATCGTCACTGTATGCGGTTGTCTACGTGCAGATGACGTCATCCGCGTCTTTTCGGCCACGCGCATCGTGACGTATAGTATAAATTAAATGTAAATAAAAATAAATTATAAATAAGATAATCGTAATATAAAATAATTATGTCGACCCGCCTGTGCGTTTCAGCACGGCCGCTCTGTTTAGCAATGAAAAGATTAGTGTGAAGGGTGAAGGCGAGTCACTAGTTACACATCTATGGAGTAAAGGTTCCACACAAACGGGCGCATACACGCACGCACGCGCCCACGCACGCACGCACATGCACACGTACGCGCCCACGAACACACACACACACACACACACACACACACACACACACACACACACACACACACACACACACACACACACACACACACACACACACACACACACACACACACACACACCCACACCGACCCACACACACACACAACACACCCGACCACGGCGCGCGCGCGCGACACTACACACAAACATGACGTAGCGCGCCCAAAAACGCACGCACGCCAACCCACGCACTGTACTTTGTGCCGTTATAACGATTTTGTGTGCGGTACAAGCTGATGATCCTCGCGCTGGGGCCGCTGTGTTGTATGTTTTATTAGTACACACCACCCCTAGCAGGAGTAGTCAATAAAACGGCTCCGTGCGCGTCTTGTCACATATCGCGAAGTACGATTATGAACTAAATGTTCTTAATAAATTGCATGACAACCACCGGTACAATAGGAATTAACCGGGCTTCTTATTGCTCACCGTCGCTGATTAACAGATAGTAATTATCAGGTTAAGTGTGTAATTATAGATGTAGATATATAATATAGATATGAGTGTAATGGTAGATAGTAGATTTTTGATGTAGATGTAATATAGACGCAAAAAAATAAAATGTAGATGATAGATGTAGATGTAGAATGTAGATTGTAGATGTAGAGTAGATTTTAAGATGTAGATTGTAAGAATGTACATGTTAGATGTAGATTGTAGATGTAGATGTAGATGTGTAGATGCATGTAGATGTAGAGTGTAAGATATAGATTAGTAGATGATATAAATTATTCCGTAGATGTAGACTGTTAGATGGTAGATGTAATGTAGATAATAGATATATAGCGTAAGATGTACAATGTAGATGTAGATGTAGATTATGATGGTGATGTATGATGTGAGATGTAGATGTAGATGGTAGATGTAGATGTAGATGTTATGATGTAAGGAGTAGATGTATGATTGTTAAGATGTATAGCTGTATATGTAGATGTAGAGTTAGTATGTAGTATGTATGATGTATATATATACAATATAGATCATAGATAATAAGTATATCTATATATACACTCCTGATTATTACGAATGGCTAGAAATGGTCGCTGTCAAATTAGCACACATATCAGTTAAATAATGCGGCGAACCGCTGCTGTAATGTAAGTAGAGCGATGTTACTGTATCTTAAGTATCAAACGTCCTCCAAATCATTCTGTATTCTGGCAAAGTCGGCATCAGAAAAATGTTAATAGTGCGTGATAGCTGTGAGCGACGACAGTGATAGCGGACAGCGACGATTGACGTTTGATGAACTCGTAGCGACCTTGAGACGTTTTGTTATCAGCACAAATGCTGAGAGTGCACAGTGTTACGTGACTATGTGGTGTAATAGTAAACCAGTCGTTAATATAGAAATATTTGTTGGTCTTTCGTAAACTCTCCATATAGTCTGTTTACAAATGAGAATGTCTAAATCAATGTGAAAAAATAAATATTTTATTAATAATTAGTATGTTAATATATTGAATATTAGTAGGAGATGGAGAGTGCAAAGATCACTCGATCAACTCATGAATGCAGATAGTGGGACAGCAGGGCAGGCTAGTAATACACTGAACACAGAAATGCAAACGGGAATCCGATATTGGAGGAACTGTAAATACACCTTTTATTTTTAAATTTCTGTGAGCATGAGAATAAATGTACCATACAATTCTCTGATATTAATATGTTACTACCGTCAGCTTCAAGTCTCTCTCTCGTCTCTCTCTCTCTCTCTCTTTCCTCGTCTCTCTCTCTCTATTCTCTACCTCCTTCTCCCGCAATACCGTCTGTTTGATGCTTCTCGGTAACCGACGGCATTACTGAACGATACGATCATCTCACAAACGACACGCAAGACGGCAACGCACACGCACACTGCACACGCAACGACACGCACACGCACACGCACACAGCACTCGCACGCCAGCACGCACGCACGCACGCAACGACACACACCAACACACACACCATACACACATCACACATACACTATGAGCGGAAAACCCACGCCGCGGTTGGCCTTCACGCGCTTGGACCAGCCACGAGCACACGTAACGCGACGGCGATGAAGTAGCGCCCCCTATGATGGGCAGAGATTATCGAACAGCTCAGTCCATGCGGTAAGGCCAGGCCAGATGCCCATGCAAGACCGACAATGGCGACAATGAGGGCGGCGGCGGCTCCCGAACAGCATCAATTGGTGACGCCATCGTATTCCTGCGGCTGCCGCGCCATCCGCCTTCGGACTTCCGACCGCAGTATATGCACCGGAGTTTGCACGCACGTTGTGTCGCTGCCGCATAGGTGCGCTGTCGCTCACACACGCAGTACTCACCACGCAGATGATTTCGCGGCGTTGCACATCGTCGTTCGGTGCGCGCGCCGCCAGGGCTGGCTCGTGTCGCTCCGACAGTTCGATAGTGTATGCTATCCCGGCTTCCGGCGCCACGAACGACGCGTTGTCGGCATCACCGAGTCGTTGTCATCGTCGTAAATAACCTGTCGGCCGTCGTTGTCGATGCTGTCGTGTGCGACGTCCCTCTGTGATTATGACCGGACGTCGCCGTGCGTCGTTCGGAGAGGCAGCAGGGTTATATGAGATCTTCCGTCGTCGGCCACTGCCTTGCTGCGCTAGACCACAGTGCTCACACAATCCCGTGCGGCGCTCTACAGGCGGGCTCGCTGTTGTTCGGATCCGATAGACCGGGGGCAAGGCGACCAGCGGCCTTGTGGTCCTACACCTTATATACGCAGTCAGCTCCGACGTGTATGCGTTCCAGCTCTTCTTCGTTGTCGGTGTGTGTATTTGTTCTCGCTGCATGAGTGCGCTATGCAGCGTTATGGTCGGATGGGTGACCTGATGGTTGGCATACACTAATGCTGTTGCATCAGTATGTCGGATACTGGCTCCGAGTGCGTCGCGTTTACACACACACACACACGCACACAGCAGCAGCAGGCGTCGCTCTCCGCTTCACTACGCCGTGCCTATCGCTACTAGACGCTAGCGACGGGAACATCACGACCCCGTACACAACAGACACGCGTCGACAACGACTAGCAGACGTCACCTAGAACTGCGCAACGTCACCGCGCGGCGACAGAGGGCGCGCGGCGTCGGTCGTGTCTGCGGGCCCGTGTTGAAGGCTGGTCGCTGTGGCGGTCCGCGTATACCGCGCAGTGACGCGAGGGTGTCACACTCGCGTCTTCTGCAATACGAGCATAGCTCTGCTGCAGCAGCCGCTATAGAAAATTTCATACGTCGCCATTGCACGGCAATTTTCCTCACTCCGCAGAGCACATGCGCCTTCGCGCGAGCGTCTGAGCTGCGCGTCGCCGGCTTTCTCTACAACGTTCGCGACGTATTAGTGTCGCTATTGCCTGATCGTAGCGACTGTCAGCCGAAAATTTGATGTATCCCTAGAAAACGACGTGCTCGCGGACGCAAAACACACGCTGGCCTGCCCGGCGACTTTAGGATAGTGTGCGACGACTATGATAATATTGTGCGTGCAAACAACGCTTGTGACCGACAAGTTTTACACGATCAAAGTTTTCCAATTATTCAAATGCGATAACTACCTTATACGAGTACTTTAAGTACGCATATTACGATCTACCTTTATACGATTACCTTACTACGATATACGATACTACTTATACTGATACCTTACTACGATATACGATACTACTTATACGAATACTTACTACGCATATCGATACTACCTTATACGATATCCTACTAACGATATACATACTACTTAATACGATACCTTAACTAACGATATAGCGATATACCTTATACGATACCTTACTGCGATTATTACGATACTACCTTATACGATACCTACTACGATATGCGATCCAACCTAACGATACATTTAACTACATATAACGATACTACCTATACGATACTTACTACGATATACGATACTACTTATCGATACCTTACTACGATATACGATACTACCTTAATCGATTACCTTACTAGTATAGTGCGGATACTACCTTATACGATACCTTACTACGATATACGATACTACCTTATACGATACCTTACTACGATATACGATACTACCTTATACGATACCTTACTACGATATACGATACTACCTTATACGATACTTACTGTACGATTATACGATACTACCGTTATACGATACCTTACTAACGAATATGCGATAGAATAACCTTATACGATATACCTTACTACGGAACACGATACTACCGTTATAACGATACCTGTACTACGAATATACGATACACCGTTATACGATACCGTTACTAACGATATACGATACTACTTATAAACGATACCTTACTACGCATAGCGTAACTACTTATACGATACCATTACTATCGATATTATCGACTACTTTTACTAGATATACGCCTAGCTACTATATCGAGACCTTACTAACGATATACGCATACTACTTAACGATACCTTCTACGATATACGAATTACCGGTATACGATAACCTTAATACGATATATGATACTACCTTATAACGATAAACTTACTCCCGATTATACGATACCTATACGATATAACGATACACTTATACGATACCTTACTAACACGATATTATCGATACTACCGTTATATCGAATACCTACTACGATTACGATACACCTATACGATGACCTTACTACGAGTATGCGTATACTATACGATACCTTACCTACGATATATACGAATACCTACCGTTATAACGATACCTTTACTACGATAATACGATACTACCGTATACGAATACCTTTACGTACGTAATACGATACTACCTATACGTATACCTTAATACGATATAGATACTACCTTATACATGACCTACCTACGATATACGGGGATACCTTACTACGATATACGATACTACCTTATACGATACTACTTTCTATCTTATTAATGGCGAGCCATTAATCAACGATAGATACATGCTGTTATCTATGAAGATACCGGAACTAGATACCAGTAAATTTAAATTATTGACACACAACACACACGTACACGCACGCACGCACGCACGAACGCACGCACACACGCACGAACGCACGCACGCACGCACGTACGCACGCACGCACGTACGCACGCACGCAAGGTGTCTCTAGTTTTAGTTAACAAAGATGTAATTAAAGAAGTTCTGTGCACATTTCCTTTGTATTTCCATCTACATTGTTGGTGACTGTGTGTTTTACTTACGTTCCCATGTACTGTTACGTGATCCGAGTTCTGAGACTCGTTGTTCGTTGCATACAGTGATCCGGATGACGCGCTAGGCCTAGGTCACGACCCTGATTACGTCATCTCCACGACGAGCAAACCAAAGTTCCAGTTCCGCCAGATGGACGAGACATTGAGCAGCATCGACTTCGAGAAGATGGCGCACTCTGGTGGGCAGTTTTACCTAGCAATCAGATCATGCAAATTCATTGCAAAGTTCAAGTTTCTCTGGGCATTTTAACACTCGTTCGAGTTAGAAATAGCACTAATACAGCAATGCGGTTAGCTATTATTCACGAAAGCTATCGCATTTCACTGAAAAGTTCAGATTGGAACACATTTATGTGTCAATGATCTAGCGATGCTGCGTATACTATTCGGAGCTTGGAAGTATTGGAGTACGGAAGCGGGATTGCACCACATCCGGTCAGTTCTTCTCTTAATGTACGCCTGACCAGCAAGAGACGTGCACGCCCTCTATGTTTTCCTTCGAAGTCTACAAACACGGCGCTTCTCTCGCAGCAGGGGAAGGCGACTTCGTGGAGCAGTGGGCAGCTCAATATGGCAGCGAGTACCACCGCACGGAGGACGACCGTTCCCCTGGCGGCGGCGGCGACGTCGACGACCTAGCCGACGGCACCCTAACAGAGGAGGACCTGCTGGGTGTCATGGCGGGCACGATGACATCAAGTGTCATCCAGCAGGCTCCCATGTCTGTCAACAGCATGGTGTCGTGGGATGGTACGTCATTCCTTACCTTTCTAGCTTATTCAAGAGGAAAAGGGAGTTAGGGGGGTGGAGATGAAAAAGAGAGAAAGAGAGAGAAAGAGAGAGAGAGAGAGAGAGAGAGAGAGAGAGAGCGAGAGAGAGAGAGAGAAAGAGAGAGAGAGGGGG